TATTTCAGGAGATGTAACAGAAGAGGGGAAATCCAGAGATTTTCTTCCTCAAGGAAGGGCAGAGAGAGAGGATTCCCTAAGGACTGGAAACCCAATAAACGTATGCATGCTGTGGCTGCCGATAATAGAGACTCAGGCTGTGAGAGTGGGCTAGCCAGTTTAGAGATACAGTATTCAGCATATTCAGCATGGGCAAGAGTGATAGAAAAATAATCTGGTTAACACCCCGGGTGGAGGCCAAGATGCTAAAGATGCAGCTGGATATAGGATCAGCAGTGTCCATCATGTGGCGGCAGGGATGTGGAATATCCCTCACACGTGTTAAATTCATGGTGACAGAGGGCTAAAGATGAATATTTAAGGGAAGAAAAACAGAGAATCTCTTTAAGTTACTGTAAAAAAAAATCGACATCCAGCATCAGATACATATGCCCAGCAGAATGAAGGCTCCAAATATTCTGTTCCTGTGAATAACTCCTTAAAATTCAGCGAAGCTAGCATTTTTTTTAGCATAATTCACTCACTTCCACTGTCCACAAGACCAATAGCTGGACAGCAGAGCAGCTTTTGAACGTCAACCTGAAATAGCCCAGAGACTGAAAGCAGGAGATTAAACCCAGTTCCGTCAGGCACAGATGGCACATCGGGCCGTCTTGCCAGGAATAAAAGGTGGCAGGAGAAGGAAAGGTTACTTTAAGAGGCCTCGGGGAAAATGGAGAGTTGAATGTTTCTCTTTCAGCACGTAATGCTTGATAATGACATTATTTATATGTTTGAGCAGATCCTGGAAGTTTTTAGAGGAGGCGCGGGCAGCTGAGTGTGGAGCCTCTGCTGATTTCTTTGCTGAGATGAACAGCGGCTCCTGCACTCTGGCTGTCTTACCCTGGGACCATCATGGCAGCTCTCAGAATCTTAGGTGCGTTTGGTCTCCACTTGCAAATCAAAGAAAACACCGGCCTCGCCTTTGTAGCAATGCTGTGAGAACCAAAGTGGGAGAATGTGTGTGGAAGTGTTTTGTGAATTGCAGAATCCACCCTAATATATTGCTAGGATGACAGAAAATTTTTAGCCTCAGGTGGCTGGTAAAAAGGAACAGTGGGTTTGGAAGCACAAATGTAGCGATGTGCTAGGCTAAGGCTCAGCTACAGGGAAAAGAGCCAACCTGCAAAGTCACTTTCACTAAGGGCTGCACTCAGGGCAGAAATGTAATAGAACTGTAATTGACAAGACACTAAGCCTTCAGGCCAGGAGCTCAGCATTTGTTTGCTCAAAACTGTGATGTCACTGCCTGCTCTACCAATCAAGGTCAGGGAGAGAATCTTCCTGTATCAACAGCAATTGCCCAAGTTCCAAAGATTCATTGGTATTTTTCTAGAGCTTGCAAATTAAAGTGCTAAAATTCCTTCTGTCTCAAGGTTGCGCTTTGACATTCACATAAGGTTGAACTATTCTGAGAGCTACAGAAAGTGATTATAGAGAAAATTTAGTTTGTAAATCTTATGGGGTTGCACAAAAGGCACAATGAGTAGATAGCGGGAAATCATTCAGATGGTGTTCTCACTGCATTGCGTTCTTCTGGAAAGGTGCCTAATTAGAGGAAACTCAGGCTTTAACACGGTAGACTAACACGCACAGCCTGGATGAGAGGCGTTAGCTTGAGAATCCAAATCCACTCAATAGGCAGAGAACCTGGGGCAGGAACCGCACCATGAAAGACGTCCACAAATACAAATATTATCATTATTACCAGACAATGGATGTTACATTCATTCAAGTGAAAAAATAGGAGGATACTTAGAAAAAATTTCTCTAAAAATAACAAAATGATCATCCTTTCTCGTGTTTCACCATATAAAAACTGATATTTTTGAAATAATCTAAGAACTAGTGGTTAACAGAATGTATCTTATACTTATATAACACTTCGCTAGCTACCGGCTCAGTCTGGCCAATTCTTTTGCTGGAAGAAGACAGACTTGGGAGAAAACTGATTTAGATTCAAGCTCTGCACTTTCTACCAAGTCACTGTATGTGCTGAATAAGAAATCTAATGCTCTGGGCTTCAGTTTCCTCATCTGTCAGAAGCTGATTATACCAGCAATGGGATACTATTGTGTGTATTTAAGGCGCTATTTCTGATTCCCCTAGCCGATGAGTAGGTGCTTGAGAATATTAATTTTCTTTGCCAGTGGTAAAAGTGGATAAATTTGCATAGCTTTTATGACCTGAATTTGAGTAAATCAATGGATAAAACACCTTTTGGAATCTCTCCGATTCCACTGGCCAAAGGGACAGCCTAGTCCTGAGGGAAAGTGAAGAGTTAGCACCTAGCAATAAATCATGGATTCCTCTTTTCTCTCCTCTAGCAACGGCAGTGATGGCAAACATTAATTTTATTGAACACAGTGTCAGCTTTATTTGGAAGGGTCTGTATCCCCAAGGATTGATTAGTGCTGGGAGCTAGTAAGTGCGCAGTAAACACTTGCTGAACAAATGAATGAATAAATGATTCCCAATGCCTGATGTTGTTTTTCTTCCCTACCTTTTTCATTCAGCATTCCCACAGTGCATACCCAGACCTTTAAAATATTTCATGTATCTCTTCTGGGGTTTCCTTTCTCCCTGAAAAAAAAAAGGGGGGGGGGGTTGAAAGAACTCTGTTGTGTAGATTAACAGTGAACAAGTTCATCCTTTAATTTTCTGCAGGTTTTTCTGATGCAGAATCACAGCTTCTGCACTTGGCATGCAGCAAGCTGCTTGGTCTTCTGCCCTGGAGAACTTCAGCCCACAGGACCCCCACGGAGCTTCTCACACGCTCCTCCTCTTCTCCACAAGGGCTCCTTCCCGTGGACCCCTCTCCTTCTTCTGTGATCGGGGTGGTGACCCAGGCCTGCCCCTCTACACACTTCGGCTCAGGAGGTCAACAGTCAGACCCGATTTTGACTCAGAAGTATTTCACCAGCAGCATCATTTGGGCTGTTCCTGAATCAAGTATAAAACTTATGCTGGAAATAACAGCTCCTAAAAAGCTATTTCCCATTGTCCAGCATTAGATTTTAAACATTGAAGGAAGGCAGTATTTCCGTGTTATATATACTCATGTGCATGGTTGTTTTTAAAGTATTTTGGAGGACTAGAAAAAAAAAAAACACTCACTAGTAAAGGAATTAAGTCTTATAGCCGACAGCAACCTCTTTATTGATTATTTCAGTATTTCTAATAACCTATTTCCAGATTCAGCATTTCTAATAACCTATTTCCAGATTCTTTACACTCAGTATCCAAATCAGAAGAAATGGCTGTTTCAGCATCACAGCATACTTTGAGAAAAAAATAATGAATAAATGTCAGTGGTAGGAAGTCCCATCCACTTCTCGGGGCTAATAGTATGTCTTCAGTATTATAAGACTTCAGTACAATTCACTGGACATTAAGGAAGCAAGAAGGATGAACACAAACCTGCATTTGATTTTATTATGTGACATGTCAGACTATTGGTTACTATTTTAAAGGGGCTTTGCATTTATTAAATATTCCATTTACATATATGGTCATAGGTCTGCGTTTTAAAATGTGCTGTTTTGCATACATTTTCAGATTGAAAAAATACAAACCTAATGGGCTCGGCTTCTTGACATTCCCCGTCCTTCCTGGTGAAAGGGTTACTTTAAAAATCAACAGCTAAAAAATAAATTGATTCAGTCACTTTTAAAGCAAAGATCAGAACAAGCACTGCTGTTTCTTTTCTTTTCCCTTTTGAGGTTTGCATGTAATTCAATATTTTAAAATTGAAAAATGTGCTGCCTCATGGCCCACACTGAGATTCTGGCCTTTGGAAATTCTGGAAAAAGCAAACAAAAGTACTTAAAAAATGTAGGCATGCCAAATAGGAATGAATGTGTAGTCAGAATATGTTCTACATGAACACTCACCAGAACTCCCAGCAGGATGACCTATTAAGGGTTACAATTTTCAAATACTGTATTCAAAAGGCCAGAACTCCTAGTATTGAGCTGAGGATCAGCTGCACTGTACCTAGTACTCCATAATTTGCACAATTCGGTCTTTAAAGCGTCATTGAAGGGACAGTTCAGATGAGTTCTAAAGAAGCTATTATAACCAGTTGGAGAAGTAATGCGTGTACTTAAAATACATTAAGTATTGTTACGCACTCATTTTGTTTCCAACAAAACAAAATGTTTCTTAAAACTTCCCTAAGGGTCACCGGTTCTGCCTAGCACAGTGTCTGATGCCCACCATATATTTAATAAATGAAATAAAGCCTCGCCAATATTGGTATGGAAAAATAAAACCAAGTCAACAAAGTGCTTATACCTCTGAACAAATGGAAATCCATAGAGCAAACGGAAGGGCTTTGACTTGGGGTCATGATCGTCCTGTAGGCTAAAGGGGTTGTCCTTAAGACTGAAGTCAGGACGTGGATCCCGGGATTGGCCCCCACCCCTCCCGCTTCCCAGAGCTGTTGCTAACCTGAAATAACATCAGCAGCTCAGGTTCAGAAATTCAGAACAAGGGCTGGGTGCAGGATAGAATTTCAAACTGTCTTTGGCCAGCACAACTGACTTTTGTACGTTCCTCCCCAAGACGACTCCCTGATCCCGCGCTTTGTGTAGACTCTTCTTAAATTACGGGGAGTTTCAGCAAAGGCTATTTATCTCTGGAAGAGCCGCGAGGACTTCCTTGGCCTAGGCGCTCACGGTTATCTGTCATTTCCCCCTCGCTCCCTTCCTTCCCCCGGGACGTGGCACGCTGAGAGGGAAATTCAGGGATTGAAAATCTGGGGTCCGGGAGTGCAGAGCGCGCAGAACCGGGGCTTTCAGAGCCGGGTTTGCAGAACTGCGTAGAGAAGGGGCGGCCGAGGGCAGCGCGGGGGAATCGCCCAGGCCGGGGTGAGGGGTTGGAATCCGAGCGCCGTGCGCAACCCGCGCCTCCCCGCCGCGTCCCCGCGCGCCCTCTAGTTGCGGCCCGGTACCGGGCGTTCTCGCTGGGGGTCCCCTCTGTCCTGGGGACCAGGCAACTTCGCTCCTCCTGGCACCCGAAGAGTCAGCTCGCTGCTCACTCCTAGCCTCCCTCTGCTCTCCAACGGCTGCACCCTGTTATGCAAAACCCCAAGCGCGCGTGTCCCTCACCCCAACCCCAGGGAGGGAGGGGAGGGCGCGTGCTGAGGGGAGGACGCGGGATCCAGGGACGGCGCCCCGACTCTGCAGAGGAGCTGGGGTGGAGGTGAGGTCGGGACGCCGGGCCTTCAGAGTCGCCCCTGCCCTCTCGGAGCTCGGAAGCTGCTAAAGGCGCCGAGGAAACGCCTTCGCCTTCGCCCCCAAACTTCGGGGCTGGCTGGGCTTGCAGCGGCGAAGGCGCAGGGAGGCCGGGCGTGCAGGGCGCCCCGGCCCGGT